TCGTGTCCATGCTGATTGCCCCTGAGGGAGACCCGGATGCACCAGACATCCCGACTCCTCGATCGTACGCTGAGGCGATCGAGGGTCCCTACTCCTCACAGTGGCAGTCAGCCATGGACGCAGAGATGGCTTCCTGGATGTCCACAGGCACCTACGTCGACGAGGTTCCCCCACCTAGGGCGAACATCGTCAGTGGCATGTGCATTTTCAGGGTGAAGCGGCCGCCGGGTTCTCTGCCTGTCTTCAAGGCGCGTTACGTGGCTCGAGGCTTCAGTCAGCGGCAGGGAGTTGACTACTTTCAGACCTTCTCTCCCACCCTGAAGATGACCACTCTTCGGGTGCTGCTGCACGTAGACGCTCAGCGCGACTACGAGCTTCACTCTCTTGACTTCAGCACAGCTTTCTTGCAGGGCAGCCTGCACGAGGAGATCTGGCTGCGCCGCCCACCTGGCTTCACTGGGTCGTTCCCCCCTGGTACCCAGTGGAGCCTCCGGCGGCCAGTCTACGGTCTCCGCCAGGCGCCCCGTGAGTGGCACGACACACTGAGGACTACACTTGCGGCTCTTGGGTTTGCTCCTTCTACTGCCGACCCGTCGCTGTTTCTGCGCACCGACACCTCGTTGCCGCCGTTCTACATCCTCGTGTACGTCGACGACTTGGTCTTTGCCACTGCTGACACTGCTGGACTCGCCCACGTGAAGTCCGAGCTGCAGAAGAGACACACGTGCACAGACTTGGGTGAACTGCGCAGCTACCTTGGCTTGCAGATCACCCGGGACAGAGCACAGCGCACCATCACCCTGACTCAGTCACACATGGTGCAGCAGGTTCTTCAGCGCTTCGACTTCACGTACTCCTCGCCTCAGGCCACTCCTCTGTCTACTCGCCACTCGCTCTCAGCTCTGCCTTCGGATGAGTCCGTAGAGCCGAGTGGCCCGTACCCAGAGCTTGTTGGCTGCCTCATGTACCTGATGACCTGCACTCGACCTGACCTTGCGTACCCTCTTAGCATCTTGGCACGCTATGTTGCTCCTGGGAGACACCGACCAGAGCACATGGCTGCAGCGAAGAGGGTGTTGCGCTACTTGTGCAGTACGTCGGGCATGGGGCTAGTGCTTGGAGGGCGGCGTTCAGTGGTCCTCACAGGTCACGCAGACGCTTCTTGGGCTGACGACCAGGCTACGCAGCGGTCGTCACTGGGTTACACCTTCAGCCTTGGTTCTGGTTCTGTTTCGTGGCGGTCTACCCGCTCGTCTTCTGTTCTCGGCTCCAGCTGTGAGGCTGAGATCTATGCGGGGGCCATGGCTGCACAGGAGCTATGCTGGCTCACCTACCTGCTGACTGACCTAGGAGAGCCGCCTCGTTCTCCTCCAGTTCTGTACGTAGACAACAAGGCCATGTTGGCCTTGTGTCGGGAGCACAGACTGGAGCACAGAACGAAGCACATTGCTCTTCGCTACTTCCTTGCTCGTGAGGTACAGCAGTGTGGTCAGCTACGCTTTGCTTACGTGGCCTCTCAGGCCAACACTGCTGATATCTTTACCAAGGCACTTCATCCTTGTGATCATCAGCGCTTTTGTACGATGCTAGGTCTTGTGCCTACTTGGCCTCACTTGCTTACTTCTTGACCTTGCTTGTACTGTGTTCTATATATACCTGCACTTGCTTGTTTACCTTTATATATATGATCCTGCATGTGAACTGGCCTTGTGGCCTTGAACCTGTGCTCGGAATGTGTGGTGACGTTGTGATCCACCCTGAGCTTGCTTTGCTTTGCTTGACTGGTCTTGTGACCCCTTGTTCTCCCCCACTTTGCCTATGGGGGTGTGTCAGACTTATATGCTATAGTCTGTGTAGGCTGTAGTGGGGTAGACTATATGGGGTACAACACTTTAGGTTTTCCTACTTGTACCCACCTGTTTCCTAGTGCATTCATTCCTTGTTCTTTCACAAAGCTGTGGGTAACCTGGGAGTAACTTTTGGCCCAATCATTTTTGGGATGTATTCTCTCCCATTCACAACTCCCCCGAGTAAAACCACTCCACGCTTCACTTTATTCTTTCTCATTCACCTCGCATGGTATGTCCGTAATGTGCCAAATCCTGTGCATGGCACGCTAAGCCAAGCGGATGGCTTCTATTGGCTTTCACACGCCTCTAAACAAGGAATGGATTTCAATCAAAATTCGAGTACATGGAGAAGTAAGAGCGAGGTTGGAGGCGGTGGAGGGAAGGAGGGAGAGCGTCAAGGCGAGAGGGGAGGGAAAGGGAGCAGAGAAATTTTGGGAAGAAGTATAGAAGGTGACGAGCACCGGGTAGATATGTTCAGCATGGTCAGAGAACATTTCGCACCTTGACTATCAAGTTTCAATTTCACATACAGTATGTATTTGTTGGCCATGTGTGTATATGCCATGGCTTGGCCTGCGCGTAGCACTGGTTGCTACACACGTGTGCCATTGATGGCATGGCGTGTCGCTATGAATGTGACATGGCATGTTGCTACATGTGTGTGCGTGCACGGACGTGAATCGGCCGTTGAGGCATACTCGTCTGATGCGTGTGACTCTATTGACATGCCGTTCGCCTACAATGACCTCTTCCAAGATTGTTTCTTTGTAAGCACAACTAAAACCGTCCGCCGCCACATGAGCCTACCAGCGCAAACCATACTGCAACCCACCCGCTACATTCACCCTCCTTTGTGTCACTCTCCTTGTGTAACTCTCTGTCAGTCACCATCTCATGTCACACCCCATCCACATGTTACAGATGTTTCACAATGGCACTCCAAATTTCTTAACGCACTAATATGGAACTTGGTAAAGGCAAGCCGCATGGCTTACCTAAGGAAGACGACGCGATGGGCAGAAGCACATCCGAACATCTTAAAATGCGAGTCGACGATCCTCCCCTCCGCGTCAAATTTAATCTGCCGCTTCATCACGTCGCCGCACGCCGGCGCGCCCACCAATCCCTTGCCAACATCTGGATCGCGCTTGTCGAACGCGCCCACGTTGCGCGGGTGATTGTTATGATCCACCACGTTCTTGTGATACAAACGGGAGCGCGTACCACGCGCCCCATCGACACTGGTATCCTCGTTCGCGTGTCGCAACCCATCAGTCCCGCTACTAGAAGCTGGCATAAAAAAGTTGGAGGTGAAGAGCTCCCGCCGCAAGGCGTAGCCACGTGCATGAGTTACGGAGAGAGCAGTGTTCGAACAGGGAAGCGAGCATCGTTGTCGATGAGAGGGAGTGGTGCACAGGAATATAAAGTGTGAATAACAGATTGGTCAGGGAATAAATGAGGAATACGAGGTTAGGAATATCAGACTTGTCGACGTACCAGAAGCCTTGTAATCAACAGATGAAGCGGTTACTTCGGTTGTCAGGGGAAGAGAAGTCGTATCCGTGTAACTCCTGTGGGCTGTGTTAATGGGCATTTCGCTGCGCCAAATAACACCGCGCTTTTGACCCAGTGGGCAGCGATGTGTTATACTGGTATTGCCACCATCCCAAATCCCGGCTGGTCCACATTTTCCGCCTGAGGCGAGAACCTGAATGTGGTAATCATACTTGAACCCAGCGAACGATCCTCCATTGGCTTGAGCAACCAGCGAAGTCGCAGCTAACAGCACTGCGAAATCTAGGTCTTAGCAGCATGTGGCCGACTCCCTGAAGTCCGAAGCCAACGTGGACGTTGGAACCTGGGGGGGGCAAGTGTAACGCTTGTGGGCCGTGTTAATGGGCATTTCGTTGCGCCAAATAACACCCTCGTTTTGACCCAGTGGGTAGCGAGGTGTTATACCCGAGTACGTTATTCTCAGCTTTGGACCTTTATTGTGAAGGAAGATTAAAGCCGAGCTCGTAAGGACGTGTAGAGTTGATTGGTAGTTCCTTCTTGTGCAAGATTCTGGATTGGACCTACCAGGATGACATCCCAGCTTGTTACGAACACGGCAGTCGCTTGGCTGCCGCACGAATTCAAGACGGCGGCACATGCAGTTCTTTGCGTCGCCGCGCCTCGCGGCTCTCACGCACGTCGTCATCGCACGCTTTGTGGCTCTGCATCGCTTGTTGTTGGCAGGGGGAGGGGAGGAGGCAGCTCGACCACGCGGATGCCAGCAACGATCGCCTCATGCTGGGAAGCGGATACACCGTACTGCGAACTCTATATGTCACGAATGGGTCACGTTTGAGCGCGAATGCGATTTTAGTAATTTTGCCTGCAGCTGGCCCAGCGTGCATGGTGGCAATGTCTAGGGCAATGTCAACCACAGTCGCAGGCGAGCACCCCAACTAGGATTGTCGCATCCTTCACCAGCTGTGCATGACAATGGCAATCTTCTCTTGCATTAAAAACAAAGGTTTGGGGATCTGTTTTATAGTGAAACTCACATATTTGTGTCATATGATATTCCTTACCTGGGGCTGTATATTTGGGGGGTTATGGTACTGGGGTTTCAACGGAAATCATCATGTTTCTAAGCAAGCGGTGGTGAACCAAATATTCAGCATGGCGAGTGTAACCACCCACGAGTAATGTGTGTTGTCAGGCGACAAGTCAGGACGAGGAAGCGTGACGGGAGTCATTGGCACCAATCTCTCATATCCTTGGAGTGGCAGCAGCCTGACATGGAATACCATAGAAGGAAAACCAATAGGAGGGTAGCAAAACAGCAGGGAGCAATGAGTTAAATTTAAGGGCATTCCGTCCCACGAAAAGTTTTGCAGTTTCCTAACACCTCACTTGATCAATGATTTCAGAAGGAGGTGGCTTTTGATGTTATTTATGCAAGAAGCTGGCAATCACATCACTTCGTCCGCTCCGTCCTAAGGTCGTGTCCAGTCACATTGAGTGCAATGGTGTCGAAAAAATGCTCGATTGCAGTGGTTCAATGCGGTTAAGTTGGGGGCAATGTGAGTCCAACATTAGGTGAGTGACATCCTGCTAAAGCGCCACCCAACCAGAAAAGCTTCCTTCTGAAGCACCACCTACCTGGAAGCTTCCTTCTCGAAGGCCATGCCGCGCAAGTTGTTGCTCCTGAAGATCAGCCAGCGCGGCTTGGTGTCCTCTCTAGCCGCCCACGGGCCAAAGAAGGTAATCTGCTGTGCGACCTGCAAGTGCCTCTGCATGCTGGGCAGCAGGCGCAAGGCTGAAGGGCCAAGGAGGGGACCATGGGGAGCACACAGCAAAGAGCACATGAGAGGGCAAGGGAGGAACATGGGGAGCACACAGCAACAAGCACATGAGACGGCAAGGAGAGGAAGATGTGGCAGGCAGCATCCATGCGCACATGAGACAGCAGCTATGAAGACCTTTTCAAAGTGGACATACGAACGTGGAACGAGGAGGAGTGCAGCAACATGAAAAGAACAGCACACAAGAAACTGCGGAAGAACAGGAGATGTTCTTAGAGCAAGCGTGTTGCCAGAGTGCGAGCACAGCAGGTACATCAACAAAATAGGGAAACTTCAGCAGAAGTGACTCGAGTCCTTCCTCCACGCACTTGCTGTTCTTCTGTAGTCCTGTGTTGAGTTCAATGAGGGGAGATCATGCAGGAAGGAGCTGTAGGCGACGAGTCGGAAGGGAGTGTCCGGGCGGCTCAGCACGTCGTCTCCCAGGAGGCTCGTGTTGAACATCCACGCTGGCAGCACCTCCTGTATCGCCCCCATCTGTGCCACGTATGTCAGATTGAACACAAAGGTTCTGCCGCTGCTGGTGACGTTGAACCTGGGAGGGGCAAGTCAATGGGAGGTGCAGCGCTCTTTGAGAGAGAAACCAAAGAAACCAACTTTTGAGGCGCGTCAAAAGTGAACCTGGGAAGGGCAACGGGAGGTGAAGCACTTATTGAGAGTGAAATCAAAGAAAAGACCCGAATGGGGCAACAGAAGCAGAGAGATGCTCTTGGCATGCCGCTCATGCTCACAGGCATGCCACTCATGCTCACAGGCATGCCGCTCATGCTCACAAGCATGCGCAGCACTGACATGCTCACAGGCATGCGCATCAGCTTCTCGAACCCACTCCCCGCGCTGCCATCGAAGGGGCTCCAAACGTGGGGAGAGCCATGGCTCACCTGGTGCCATGGCTCACCTGGTGCCAGGCTCACCTGGTGCCAGGCTCACCTGGTGCCAGGCTCACCTGGTGCGCACGAAGCCGTTATAGAGCGCTCTGAGGCAGAAGGTGCTAGCAGATCTTGGGACGTTATTCCAGTGAGCTGCACTGTCTTTTCCTACTTGCTTGAACCTACTCCTACGCAAGTGCAGCTCACCTGGTGCGCACGAAGCCGTTATAGAGCGCTCCGTGGAAGAAGGTGTTTGCAAGATGGGGTGCACGCACTGACACGCGCACACGCATGCGCAACAGCTTCTCGAACCCTCTCCTCCGGCCCGCACTGAAGGGGCTCCAAGCCTGGGGAAAGCCGTGGTTGAACCCGTAGAAACCCTGCGCACGCAAGGCACATTCGGCAGGAAGCACACGGGCAGACACGCAGGCAGATGCCTGTCCCAGTCAGGCAGCAGATGGCTGACGGCACAGGCGGCAGGAAGCACACGGGCAGACAGGCAGCCAGATGGCACCTCGGTTGGTTTGAAGAGAGGCAAAGTGAGGGCTGGGTCAGCTGGGACGCGGATGGGAAGAGACATGGGACCAAACAGGCAGTACAAAACAAGGCATTCACGGGACACTGTATGCCTGAGGCGCCTAAAAAAGCAGACAAAAAAATCGATTCATCACAGCATGCATGGGTGTAATGTAAGTAGCTGCAGGTCGGGTTTTGAGAGCTCTCAGGAAGCAACTTGTCTCATAGCACACACATGGCATGCAGAGGGGTGACTTTTGAGGCGCCTCAAAAGTTGTCTCACAGCACACACACGGCATGCAGAGGGGTGAGTGTGGCAGCATGCGACATGCAGGCAGCAACACACAGTAGTTGCTAGCTTGCCTGCATGTTGACCTGCTCGGACTCCACAAAGGCCGCGCGCGAGTCAGCTGATGAAGGCTTGCTACCTTTTTGCTACTGACAGTGCTTGCTTGCTTGCCTGCATGTTGACCTCCTCGGACTCCACAAAGGCTGCGCGCGAGTGTGCATGAAGGAAGACCTGTAGGAAGCCGAACAAGTAGCGCATCTCCGAGTCGCCTGCCATGCACAGATGGCAGGTGGGAACGAAGGGGGTTTTGTTGTCGACTCAAAGACCAAACAGGTAGCGCTTTCTGAGTACCCGTGCACATTCCCTCTTCATACCCCCCCTTACCCAAGAACAGCCCAGCCCCCCCTGCCTACCCATGAGCGGCACCCCTCCAACCTCTTCCCCCATTACTCATGAGCAGCACACACCCCCCCCCCTCTCCCCCCATGAGCAGCACACCCCGCCCCCCTCTCCCCCCATGAGCAGCACACCCCGCCCCCCTCTCCCCCCATGAGCAGCACACCCCGCCCCCCTCTCCCCCCATGAGCAGCACACCCCGCCCCCCTCTCCCCCCATGAGCAGCACACCCCGCCCCCCTCTCCCCCCATGAGCAGCACACCCCGCCCCCCTCTCCCCCCATGAGCAGCACACCCCGCCCCCCTCTCCCCCCATGAGCAGCACACCCCGCCCCTCCCCCCATGAGCAGCACACCCCGCCCCTCCCCCCATGAGCAGCACACCCCGCCCCTCCCCCCATGAGCAGCACACCCCGCCCCTCCCCCCATGAGCAGCACACCCCGCCCCCCTCTCCCCCCATGAGCAGCACACCCCGCCCCTCCCCCCATGAGCAGCACACCCCGCCCCTCCCCCCATGAGCAGCACACCCCGCCCCTCCCCCCATGAGCAGCACACCCCGCCCCCCTCTCCCCCCATGAGCAGCACACCCCGCCCCCCTCTCCCCCCATGAGCATCCCCCCCCTACTCATGAGCATCCCCCCCCACTACTCATGAGCATCCCCCCCCTACTCATGAGCATCCCCCCCCTACTCATGAGCATCCCCCCCCTACTCATGAGCATCCCCCCCCTACTCATGAGCATCCCCCCCCTACCCATGAGCATCCCCCCCCTACCCATGAGCATCCCCCCCCTACCCATGAGCACCCCTCCCTACCCATGAACAAAATGCGCTGCTTGCGGTGGAAGCACTGGAGGGCATCGACCAGCTGAACGGACTTGAGGCGGCACGCGTGGGGGCGCCACTGCTGGTCCTTCCAGTAGCCCTCGTTGCCGGAGGAGAGCAGCAGGGCAGGCGTGCACCAGGGGAGGTTGTTCCTGAGCATGAGGGAGAGGGTGGAAGGAAGGATAAAGCCGTTGAGAAGTCTCAACAGCATCGCCGCCAGCTCTGCTGGTCGTCCAGTGGCCCTCACTGCCAGACAGACGCAGGCAGGCGTGCACCAGGGGAGGGGAGGCTCTCTTTGAGAGGAGGGAAAGCGTAGAAGGGAGGGAGTGAGGGAGGGCTCGCCTTGACTGACAGACCTCGGATATGATTCGGTTTTGGTCTGGTTTTTGCTGGGAGGTAAACTCATGGTGAGGGAGAGAGGGAGGCCTCCTGAGTCTGGATTGGCAGCCTGCAGCCCGTTTTGAAGCAGGTTGGTGGTGAGAGTTCTCACAACCAACCTTTAGCCCCGCCCCCATGCTGACAAAGGGAGGGAGGGAGGGAGGGAGGGAGGGAGGGAGGGAGGGCTCCTGAGTCAGGACTGCCTGCCTGCAGCCCTGCCCTCGCTCTCCATTCTCCTCCCAATATACTCCTAAGAACTCAACCCACACTCCTGCTTATTGCCGCCGAATCAAGACCTCACTGATGCGCCATCACGCTTACCTAAGCGCGTCTGGGGAGTACGGCTGGGGGCTGGAGACCTGCAGCTTGCGAAGGGCCACCAGGCGATAGCTGCACGGAGGGGAGCAGTGATGTGACAGCGGGTCATGCACGGGCACTACTAGCGGGTCATAGCTGAGTTTTGAGGATCCTGAAAGGCAAAAGCAGGAAGGACCCACTTTTGGAAGCCGGGGTTGAAAGCACGGCTGAGAGCAGTGCGGGTCTGGCAGGCGTTGGTGAAGAGCAGATGCAGCGAGAGAACGTAGGGCCCGGGGACAGGCGCTGTGAAGCACACCTGGGGGCGCATGAGTCCCATCCCATAGGACGAACGCGCATGGGAAGACAAGGAGCAGCAGGAGAGAGGGCGCGCGCACAAGACAAGTGGAGGGGGGACGGGGAGAGAGAGGGCACGGGGTGATCAAGGGCCGCAGGCGGAGGGGAAAGAGATAGGCGGGTGGACGAAACAAAGGCGAGCGAAGACGGAGTGAGGGAGAGGTGAAGGGAGGAGGGATGAGCGGCGACAGGATGGGAGGGTGCGGGGGACGCTGTTCCTGGCAGCAGCGGGTAGTGGGCGGGCAGGCACTACCTGTTTCCGTGGCAGGGAAGGCAAGCCAATGCACTCATCTCGAGGCGCCTCAAAAGGCAGTGGCCGTGCAGTGCAGGGAAAACAAGCCAATGCACTTCATATCACACAACGGCCAACCGACGGAAGAGCCTAGTCGAGGCCCCGCTTACCCCCCTGGGTTGAGGACGGGACGGCTCAACCCACCCCACGGCCCACTTAAGAAAGAGTCTAGTAGCGACCTCCTCTCACTTTTAAAAGGGCGTCATCTCTATGCTGTATGAGCCATGTATCAACACGGAAGCAGCATTTGAGAGAGAGAGAGAGGGAGCGAGGACAGCACCTGGTGGGAGGAGGAGGCGGGGCGGTACGTGACTCGCGCCGCCAGTCGCAAGTCCGTCCACTCGTTAGCAGCATCGTCCCATGCCGGCGCCTCCTCGCCACGTCATCATTGGTGCTGCTCTTGCCACCACCGCTGCTGCTGGCACTGCTGCTGCTGCTGCTGCCGCTGATAATGTTGGTATTGATCGTGGTAGTGGTGCCGGTGGCAGCGGCGGAAGAAGGTGACTCCGTCGGGAGAGAGGAGGCGGCACCATTAGGTTCTGATGAGCGGTTGGCAAGGGAGTCAAAGGCGAGTAGCGCCACAAAGAAGGCACGCTGCCTGCAGGATAAAGCAGAGGGGCGATGGAATGGAGAGGGGCGATTGATTGCACGAGGCTGAAGAGGCAGGCAAAGAGACGGGGCAGAGGGAGATGGAGTGAACGCACACAGCAGAAGATCTTCTCGAGGGCCAGAAGATCTTCTCGAGAGCCAATGGGCCACTATGCGATTCCCCGGTCCTCCTCTAGTAGAGCGACGACAATTTCAAGCTGACCTACCCGGGGAATTGCACGAAACAAGTTTGCGACTGGTAACACTGTAACACTGCGTCTCGAACAGAAGCCATGCGCAAAGGCTGGGACAATGCGACATCATTGGCCGTGCTCCAGCAATGGTTTGACACACCGCAAACATTTGTTAGCACAGAATACAACACACCGCAAACAATGCCCAAACATTCCAATACTCTGTGTCCGTTTCACGTCGCGTGTTTCGAGCCAGGGTAGGTGACGAGTTGCAACGAGGGGTTTTTGAAGACATTACTACACTAAAAAAAAACTTGCGCATGAAAAAAATAATGGAAAATGGGATTGCACAAAAGCAAAGCAGTGGGAAATGGAAACAAGACCCGCGTGCACATGTGCCTGCTGCACGCACGCGCTGCTTGCCCCGAGGCGAGTAACTGAGCACGGCGCGAAAGTCCACGTAGACGGACAGCAGCGCGCCGAGCAGCAGAAGCGCGGCGACTGATGATAGGACTCCCACGCGCCGCTGCTTGACTCGA